GGGGGGGGGAGGAGGAGAAAGCAGGGTTTGTAAAAAAGAATATAACTTATGGGTTATCTTCACTAAATTATGGTAGTCAACTATCCGATAAGCTTTTGGTGATTGCTACTCTGTATCAGAGGCAATGGGGAAGAAGGGGAGTGGAAGCTAGACCCTGTGAAGAGCTGGCTTTAAGCAGGCGCCCCACAATCACCAAATCTGCCTGTCACCTGTGCTGTTACCTCTGATAGAAAGGCAGCAGCGTGAGGTGGCAGGGGGCTCCCAGGGAGTTGGTCCAGGAGTACACTGACTGCTGACCCTGTTCCCGGGGACTATCAAATAGCCATGTAACAGCTAAGATTTCATGTGGTTACATGACTATTCAATTACATGACATCTAAAATCCCTAGTATCAATGTGTGTAGGCTCATAATGACAGTCTAGTTTGACGAAGTTCAAGTCCTGCCATCCCCATTGATACCCCTATACACACAAAATCACTGTTTTCAGAATATCTTCCTAATAATAGAAAGATTATCAGCCTCCAAGATTAATGCTGCAATAGATTTAATGCCTGAATTCTGGGAATGTACAAAAACCAAATAGAACAAACCGAGGATTCTGCATTTCTTGCACATGGAGATCTCCTTCCCATTCCTACAAAGAACACTATTCATGGAATAAAGAGCTGCAATATTCTATATTGCTGATTTTTCATTGAAATATGCAGTATAACCTGCCTTACTCGCCTCCTTCATTCCAGTAGCTCAGAAATTCTGCAGTACGTGCACGTGTGGAGGCAAGTGCTGATTTTCAATTGTGGGTAACTGAGTCATTCGGGATATGAATTCAGTGAGATCTAACTGTGAGCAGAAATTCTACTGTGAAAATGCCTCCAGTGCATGTATGCTTTCACTTCTGTAAGAAGGTATTCTACAGACAAGGCAAAGCCATGAAAATTTTAATTCCTTTTCTTCCCATATCCACCATCCTTCTGAAGAGGGAATTTACAGCCAGACAAGGAAACAACTCAGTTCACATGAGTCACTTCTGAATTATAAGAAAAAACATTTTCTGCCTAGGGATTGAGCACTATGTCTCTAAAGCACATCTAGCACAAAATGTCTAGGGCATAACCTGGGACCAGAAATCCATCTTAGATCTCCTGGGAGACAGCACTATGCACATCTACTGGCTCATTAAGCTGATCTGCAATCAAACAAAAAACAAATGTGAAAATCTTCATGAGAACTTAAGGTTTCATTACCCCAAATGACTGGAAATGCACTCCTTTTCACTATGGTGACAGTATAAGCAACAATGTGGGGTTAATGTGAAGCATTGTAAAGGTGAGGATTCACAACTCTGGAAATCATAATTTGTAGATTTCATCATATTAGGCTGAGGCCTGTTGCCCTGGAGAGAGGTAAAATATTTTAAAAGGATAACTGAATAGCTAAGTAAAGGTGAATGTTTTTGGACAAGTTTATTGTGGTTAATAAGACAAAGATAAATACGATGAAAAGGTGGATTTAATCAAGGAAAAATATAAATAAATAGAGAGCATTCTTTGGAATTATGGTTAATTACCTTGATCTTCTGGGTCAACTCGCACAAACGAGTTCTCTGTAGCTTTTTCCCTGGCCCTTTCTTCTTCTTCTTGGGTCCACTGCATGTGGTCCCTGCAAAAAGACAGTTACAGAACACATTTTAATATGATTTCTCTATAGCCTTTTTTTGGGGGGGGGAGGAAGAAGTGGGAACTGCTTACATATTAACTACATTGTATGTTCCAGGGTCATATAAATACTTTCTAGTGCAAGATAATTCTTTAGCTCATCTGGATGCAACCTGGAACTCCTACAGTTCTTAAGTTTAATTATTTTGCTTTGTTCTGTGTTCCAGCAGCCTCTGTACTGGCAGCTAATATAAAGTGCTCGCCTAACAGAGCACCCTACAAGCTGATTATTTGAATGAATCTGTGGCATGTTGTCTTTTGTTGCTCTCTCTGTGAGACGTTCTGTAGCTATCCCTTTACTCTATGATTTGTTCTCACACTGGCCATGATGGAAATCATAGTGCTGCTTTTTTATATTTTTGTAATTTTTTAAAAAAGTCTTTCGACTTACCTTGCATTTCTCTATGTTGTTTTGTTCTTGCATAAAGCTGAATCATTAAGTTGAAGCAATATATTGTATATTACATTCCAACCTCCCTCCCCAAGTGCATCACCTTAACCTTTCCTCTGTGCGTTTACAGTTATACAATCTGGTATCCCACTATGTCCTACAGAACTGTAATTTTAGAAACATATACAAAAATTTAATACAAAAATATTATTCAATGGTTTGATGAAAGACATTTGCCATTTCTATGTTTGCTTATGGACTACAAATCATGGATACAGCATCCAGAAGGATGGTGCTTTGAAGCAATTAATAACCAAGCATGAACAATCAGACAGGAATAAAGATTCAGATCTCTTGGCCAATTAATAACTTGTAAATGTCAACCAGACTGGAGTTAATGAATACTGGAGCCAATGCCCTAAAATCACACTATGCCTGTGTCTCCAAAGCACACTTCAATTTTTTGCAATGTGAGCAAATTCCCAGGACTGGCACAGATTCAAAACTGTGAGCTTGTTGGAGTTGAAAATCTAAGCTTTTGTGTGTTACAGAAAACGATGAATCACCAGTGACATAAATCTCAATCAGTAAAATGATTAAACATAGATGTCCAACTGCAAATAGGGCAAAATAACTGGCATTTTGTTTTCTTCACTGGATTTAGCATGCACCTTGTCAGTTAACTCTGTTTATATGCATTTATTTTGTATCTCATGTTAGTTGCATCTTGATTCAGTTTAGCGGACCTGTTAGCACAGCTTCTGATCCAAAGAATACACTTGTTAGTAATGTTTATCATGTGAAGGGCCAAAGTTCAATTAAATAGGAAAATATTCATTGCTAAGACAGGGAAACACTTTTATCCACAAATTCTTATCCAGCCTAAATGGAAGAAGGAAGACCAATCAGTAGAGCCCTGCATAGTTACAAAGTTTATATCCGCATCCATATCAGCAAAAATGAGCCATGGATATCTGCATCCACCTGTGGATTTAAAGCAGATATCCACAGATTTGCAGGGCTCTACCAACCAGTTTCTTAAAAAGGTGAGATATGCTGCAATGCTTTGTGGTTCCAGAACACATTACTGTGCCATGTAAAACTGTTCATCTTGATCATACAACAAATTCATATAATAAGTGGAACAAAATAAGGCTCCGACCCAGGCTAGTGCTGAACTCCTGAAATTCCTATTCAAAGGTAACTCTCAGATCATGCCCTAAAGACCTACTCCTGATCCCATCAGAGTCACTGGCAAAAACTCATTTACTTCAGCATAAGCAGTATTGGGACCTAACTGGTTTACTTTAACTTCTTCTTAAGATTGTTTGAAAACTATAAGCTTTGGGAGCAGCATCTTTCTCTTCGCTTCCTAGCAAATTTTGGATACTGCTATAATAATCATCTCAAATCCATACTAGCGATAAAGGTTAAATTTATTTTATCTTGTAAATTAAATTTGAATAGAACTGAATTCTTCTGCTTTAAAATGCACCAGACGCTTTTTTTGAGCATATTACTAACCATGCTATACTGATTTTCAAATAGGGTCAAGTATCATTCAAAACTCCCCCAGTTAAGTTATTCCTGAAATCATCAGCTTGTGCTATGTTCTTCACAATTGAAAATAAAATTCTTACATCATGAAGAAGGGGCTATGTGACCTGAAATGCGGAGCAGGGAGATAGAAACAAGTCAAGCCAATTCTTGAATGTGAAACATAAAAACTAAAAAATACAAAAAGCCTTCTGAAAGTTAAACAGCAAATAGATATGGCAAACAGACATTGATGTTGTCAGCATTACATAAGGAAGTTTACACATAAAGATGATCAGAGACTAAGATGTGGACAAGCCTGCTTTCCATAACAATTAGGGTATGTCTACACTACACTGTTATTTCAAAATATCTTATTTCAAAATAGTTATTTCGAAATAGCTTATTTCGAAATAACGCGTCTACACACAAAATGCATTTTGAAATAGCATTTTGCTATTTCGAAATAGCATGTCCACACTGAGTGGACTCTGAATTGCATTAAGGCTGGCTGGAACCAGTTCCGGCAGGGCACCAGGTTAGGACTTACTGTGTGGGGCTGCTGCCTGAGCCTATCTGAGGTTTGTGCTTAAAGGGAGCCCCCCCCGACAGCCAGTTCTCAGGTTTCCCTGCTTGCTTGTCTACTTCAATGAGGGACAGTAAAGCATTTTGTCTCTGCGTGCTCTGCTTGCCCTCACTCGGGACACCACAGCACTCTGCAACATGTAGCCAGAGCTGCCCCTGGGCACTCTGGTGCTTCTCACGGACACGTTGCTGTGAGCCTGGCTGCACTTTCTGCAGGCTGCCATCCGGGAGGTCCATCGGGGGCCGTCAGTATTCAGGAGGCCCTGCAGTAGAGCTTCCACCCTGAGGAGCACTAAGAGCCTCCCTGGTCTGCCCCACTGGGGGCTTGTGCCTCATTCCTCCCTCACATCCTTCCATTTACCCCTCGCTAATACCCTTTCTGATGTCAAATAAAATAAATGTATTTTCATGAACACACCCACTCTTTCTTTAATAAAACTGGGGGGGGGGGGGAACGAAACTCTGGTGAGAGTGGGAAAAGGAGGCGGAAGAGGGGAGAAGAGAGGGTGCGAGAGGGGAGGCGGAAACCTGAGAGGAGGGTGCTGGAAGGGGGAAGCAAGGGGGAGGGGAAGCTCAGGGTCTTGCTGGACCACCTTGCTTGTCATGCAAACCTGCTCCTGGGTTTGTATGTGGCCTTTGGTGGCCAGGCTGGCAGCTATCCTGCCATAGACGGCCGCGTTCCTCCATCTAGTGCGGAGATCATGGATGTTGGAGGCATCCCCCCCAAAACCTGAATAAGTTCCATTATCTCTACCCTGAACCAGGAAGGCTCCTGGGAGCTGGCAGACTGCTCCTGGAGAGTAATGGAGGGCTGGCTGCCAGTGGCTTGCTGGCTCATGTTTTGGGGTCACTGGGGCAGGGGCAGAGACTACTGGCTCTGGGCTGGCAGGCTTGGAGCTGGCACAGGCACTGTGGCCAGAGTCTACCCCTTTAAGGGCTCCAGGAAGGGGGGAAGGGAGAGAAGTGTTCTTGGTTGGGGCTGGAGTGGCCACCAGGGCACCCTGGGAAGACTGGAGGCCCCCTATTTCAAAATAAATGTCTACACAGCACTTATTTCTAAATAGCTATTTCGAATTTGGCGTTATTCCTCGTAGTATGAGGTTTACCAAATTCGAAATAAGCGCTCTGATGTTTATTTCGAAATAGCGGTTCGGCTGTGTAGACGCTAGGAAAGTTATTTCAAAATAAGGACTGTTATTTCGAAATAACTTTGCTGTGTAGACATACCCTTATATATTTTTTCTCTCTTCAGATGCATGCTTTCTTTAACAAGTCTTTGTTATGGGTAAAGCAAGGAAAATCGCACCTATGTCTGATTTTGCTGTGTTTCTCTTAGTCAATGATGTAAGAGAGTAGGGGTGGGAAACCTCAGGCTCGGCTTGCCTAGATCTGGTCCCCGAGGCTCAGGGCACCCCCAGCATTGGGGAGCCCACGCTGTCGCTCCAGCTGCTTCCCCAACCCCTGGGGCTGGAGCATACAAAGTCTATTAGGCTGGGCCCCTATAGGCTCTTGTGTGCAATCGACACTCTCTGCATTCCTTTCTCTTCTGTTAGGGGCCACAGTAAGGATCCCCTCCCCCCCCACTTCTCACTTGTGTGCGGCCCCCAACCGATTTTTCTGTGGGTCAGCAGCCCCCAACCTGAAAAGGTTCCCCACCCCTATAATAGAGCATGTTCCACACCCATTTGCAAAATGTGGTATCCTGATACCACAGTTTGGACACTGAGGTTCAAGACTGATGGTAGGTAAACATATAGAGTGTGACCCTAACCATGGAGGACAGGAAGACCCAATATGAGAACAACAGCATAAGTAGCACACAAGTAAGGTATGACTGTTTGGCGGTAATCCTTCCATGTGCTCAGAAAGCCAGTAGTTCCTATGCAATACAAACTAAACTCTGCTCTCAGTGACATGGGTGTAACTGTTATTGACTGGAGCAGGAATTACACATATGTAACTGAGATCAAAATTTGGTATGAAATATAAAAGGAAACTTTGTCTTATAAGCCACGAATAATGTCTGCAGTCCCCTAATAAAATGGAAAACAAGAATCCCTTTGCCAACATTAATTGAAATCGATGCTTAAATGTGCAACTGGCTATTCAATTCCCAACCATACAAGTGAATCTCATTCTGTATTTTGAGGGGGTTGTTAATTAATTTAATTCAGCCAGTTTACTCAAGCTGCTGTTCACAAGACACAGAGGAAGGATAAGAGATAAACCTGTAAAATAAAATAACAAAAATAATCAAATCTGGAGTCCCGAAGGAAGCCAGTTAGTCAGCACATGTATTACAAAGGGAAAAGGAAACTAAAGAGCTCTGGTCGCTCTTAAAAGACAAGGAAGTCTTGATAACCAGGGAACTTTGTTCATTTTCTAATACCTTACTTAACATAAGGAACAGCATTCCCTGACTATCCCACAGG